GATTGGGCCGACTTTTTCCCAACCGTCCTGTGGTGTTGGGTCCTCGTTTTGAACAGACAATGCTCCGCGTTCCTCTCCTCTCCTCTCCTCTCCTCTCCTCTCCTCTCCTCTCCTCTCCTCTCCTCTCCTCTCCTCTCCTCTCTCCTCTCCTCTCCTCTCCTCCTCCTCCTCCTCCTCCTCCTCCTCCTCCTCCTCCCCGTCCTCCCTCCTCTCATCCCTGCCTCTGCCCTCCGCATGTCAAGCGCACCCCTCACACGCTTCGTGGACCCATAGGGAGCTCCACCGAAGGCCCCAGTGGCTGCGTTCGCGTGCGGTTCCACCCCACATTTCGGCACACCCCTCACACTTGTCGTGGCCCCATAGGGAGTTCCACAGAAGACCCCCGTGGCTGCGTTCGTATGCGGTTCCACCCTTCTTTCGGCACACCACTCTCACGTTTCGTGGCCCCATTTGGAGCTCCACCGAAAGCCCCGGTTCCACCCCCATTTCGGCACACCCGTCACATGTTTCGTGGCCTCATAGGGAGCTCCACCGAAGGCCCCCGTGGCTGCGTTCGCATGCGGCTCCACCCCTACTTCGGCATACCCCTCACACGTTTTGCGGCCCCATGGGGAGCTCCACCGAAGGCCCCGGTGGCTGCGCTTGCAGGCGGCTATGGAACTCCACCGAAGGAGATAATCACAACTGCGGTCTTCACACTTGCATATGGTTGGGTCCCTCGCCAGGATATTTGCTTGTTTTTGCTTGTTTGTTCTGTACGATCCGAATGTTACTTTTTTGTTTTTCAACACCGGTGCTCTCGTTGCAGCGTGGGCTGTATTTTCGGATCGGCGCTGTGCTCCCGTCGTTCAGAATGGCGCTCTCGTCCCAGCGTGAGCCATGTCTCTGTATCCCACAGGTCTCGCAGGTTTCAAGGTCTCGCAGGTCTCGCAGGCTCCACGAGTCCCACACGTCCAGCAGGACCAACAGGCATCGCAGGTCGTCCCACAGATCCCACAAGTACCACAGCTTTGACAGGTTCCACAGGTCCTCAAGGTGTCGCAGGTCTAGGAGGTCCCCAAGTGTGTGTCACATGTCTCACAGGTCCAACAAAGGCCTCTCAGGTCCCACAAGTCCCGCCGACGCCACAGTTCCCGCAGGTCTTGCAGGTCTCACAGGTCCCACACTTGTCACAGGCCCCACAGGTCCCACAGGTCTCACAAGTGCCGCAGGTCTCACAGGCGCCACAGGCCACACAGGCCCCCCCGGTCGCACAGGTCCCACAAGTCGCGCGCACAACAATCAACGCAAGGGAAAGGGATGGGAGAGAGGGATATGATGTCAGATGTGGCGCGAGCGCACCTGGCTTGCCCCTCTCCTCTGTCCTCTCTTCTGTCTGCAAACTCACAATATGAATGCTACTCTCCTCTCTTCCCTGACCCTGTCGGAAGATGTCCTGCCCCACTCCGCGTCATCTTTTTCTACACAGGATTGGGTCGATCTTTTTTGCTTGTTTTTGTGTTCTGTTCCTTACCATTCGAATGCTTGTTCGTATAAAAAAACGGTGCTCTCGCTGCAGCGTGGGCTTTGTTTTCGGATCGGCGCTGTGCTCCCGTCGTTCAGCATGGCGCTCTCGACCCCAGCGTGGGCCACTTCTCTGGATCGCATATGTCTCACAGGTCCCACAGGTCTCGCAGGTCTCGCGGGCCCCAACAGGCCCCGCAAGCCCCGCAGGTATCGCAGGTCGTCCCACAGGTTTGACAAGCCCCACAGGTCCCACAAAGTGTCGCAGGCCGCGCATGCTCCACAGGTCCGACGAGTCCCGCAAGTCTCGCAGGTCCGGCCCACCTGTTCCACAGGCGCAGGTCTCACAGGCCCCACAGGCAGCAGAGGTCCCCCAGGGTGCGCAGGTCGCACAAGTTTTCCCCTTTCGGACTGCGCAAAACACGAGCGATGGGAGTCTTTTGCGAGGTTCCAGGTCGGCTATGACACGCGTCCGCGGACAGAGAAACATCAGCGCAATGGGAAGGGATGTGAGGGGGGGATCAAATATCAGATATGGCGCGAGCGCACCTAGCTGGCCTCTCTCCTCTCTTCTCTCTACAATTGCAGACACCGGATAATGCTGATAATGCTCGCCTCTCTCCTCTGACGTTGTCCGGGGCGTGGTCCCGCCCCCCTCCGCGTATGCTTTTTTCACAGAACGTTGTTTTCCCACATGCTTATTGCGCGCCAGTTGTTTTCGGTCTTCAGAACAGTGCTCCAGCTGCAGCGTGGGCACCATTTTCGGATCGGAGCTTTGCTCCCGTCGTTAAGACTGGCGCTCTCGCCCCAGCGTGCGCCTCTTTTCTGGGTCTCATAGGCTTCGCAGGCCCCACAGGTCGGATAGGTCCCACAGGTCCCACAAGTCCCACAGGTGTCGCAGGTCCCACAAGTCCCGCAGGTCCCACAGGTCCCACAGGTCCCACAAATCTCACTGGTGTCGCGGGTCTCACAAGTCCCACGGAAGTCCCTCATGCCC